ATGAGAAACAGTTGCCAAAAACTGCAACAAGAACGAGTCATAATGAGTTTTAACAAGGAAGTCAATGGCCAACAATAAGTTGATAGATATATCTTGAAATGCATACCTGTGATTTGGCCACATCAGCAACTTCCGCTCGAACCATCAACTCTTGCATCTCATGGAAATCATCTTCAACTTTAACAATGTGTATTGCAGCACCATATAAGATATAGCCAACCAATAAGCAGATCACAAAGAATAAGAAGGCAGTTGTCAGTGCAGTCCACGATGTGGGCGCCTCTTGATGATATCTGTTAAAAATTGCTAGATAGTAAGTACTTACAAAAGCACTTGCAGTCGTTCCATCAACCTCATTAATAAGTATCCAGTGATACACTTACCTGCATATCATCAGATGCTTCCTGAATGGATCTCCAAAATCAAGCTTGCTTTCATGCAACAAAGCTAAGTCACCATCTTGGTTTTGGTGACCATACATGATCAAGTGATCAGAAGAGTTAGTAATATCGAATACATTCACTAGAATCGCCTGATTTCCAGCAAGTTGCCCGAGTAGATTCTCCACAAGAGACTCCACATCAAAGGCTCCACCAAGGTATCTGTGCAGTAACCAAAGCAATTCAAGTGATGTAAATATGGTAAAGGTGCTTATGATGGAACCAATGGAAGTGTTTGAAACAGTATGTCATGGAGCACCACATCGCTGATAATGTCATGATTGTAATAGGAGAAAAGGAGATTTTCTCTATCAGCAGAAATCACATGAAGAAAAGCCTAAACCATTTTTCATTTAAAATATGCACTATAGTACAACTGCAGTTATATACTGCAAACTCGATCATCAACACTCTAAGACAATATTGTATCGAACACAATTGTTAACTCCTAATAGCAAAAGCTTAAAGACAAGACCAAACATAAAGAAGTTTCAAACAAAAAGCTCGCATTTCCAATTAGAAAGACAAGCTGGAGGGACCTACCCGGCAGTTGCTTCAGTGCGCTCCTCCACAGTCGGCTTTGGTGGGAGCTTCGATTTGTACACAGGGAATGTCAACACAACACCGAGATGATAAGAACCCAGTAGCCTGAAGGGGCTAGTTAGGACAGCTTTTCCAGTAGCCTTGGCCCTTAAGATTTTCTCTATCCTCCTGCACATCACAACATGTATATTACAACTCCAATCCACCACTCTAAAAATTATAAGCAGATTGTAGGTAGTAAATGGCATACCTCCCCGGACATCATGTCAAGTGATTCGATGTAAGAAACGGTTTCTTGAGAGAAAATCACAGGAGCATATTCATCTCGAATAGAAGAAGGTTCCCTCTTCATTGTCTTTATCGTCCAGCCATGCTGCCTCTCGAATTTCTCCCTCTCTGAATGTCTTACTCTTTCTGCATAGGCCACCCCACTAAGCAATGGCCTCTCAAAAGCAGTTCTGGCAGTGTACTCAGCAAAAGTCTCCTGCATTTCTTGCAAAAGAAAAAGAAATGACCCAAAGTGTACAATCAGAACAAGGAAAACTTCACTTTATGATTTCCAGGAAAATATAAGATCAACCAGACAAAATACAATAAATTTCAGGAACAAGAAGCAGAACCTGATCAATAGCAGAAGGATCCTTGTAGTAACGAAAAGTGGAGACAAGAATGGCCAGGGCGTGAACATGGTTAACGCTAACACTGAATTGATCCTGCAACCCTTGCCCTTTGATCACACATGCTACTCAAAACCTCCTTCCTCCTTACTTTGTTGTCAGCATCCATGTTCTTGTAGATCCATGCGCTGAGAAAAGCCATCACCATCACCCAAAGCAACAAAAATTTGGGCAACCAAGCCCTGTTAGCTTGAATAAATGTGTACCCTCTTTTGGTCCCCATTTGTTCATTCACCTTCACAGTCACTGCTGCTGAATGGTGGTAGCTCTGTTTCAACTTAAGACCCATCAGCAAAGGAACAACAAAATCTCAACATGTTTCTCCATGTCTTGTTATTATTCTTCTTCTTTCTTTGTTAACACTCACTTCTGAGCCAGAAAAAAGAGCCCCCGCAATTAAAAAAACATGCAAACACTGTAACTAAAGTAACTTCCTTCCAAGTACAATCAATTTCAAAAAATACCCTTTTTTTCTGCAATAGAACATGATGAGCTAAAACTCCCAGGTTTATGTATCGTCATAGCATTGTTAAAAGCTAGCACAAAGACATGGACCAAAGCAGCAAATTTTCACATCACAGAAGAGAACTCAAGAAAAAACTTTTGAATTCTCAGAGACAAAGCATGTCTCAAAGATAGAACTCAAATTACAAAGATATCTCACCATCTCCCTCTACAAAAAAAAAGGGGGGGGTTCTTTGCCTTTTCTTCTATTAGAATTAGAACATTTAAATAATAGAATTTTCAGAGAGAAAAACACTAATCATGTTCCTCTCCCAAGCGTGAAACTTTTGTTTTAGTTTAAGAACTAGAAAAACAAAAGAACAGCACGTTCAGTGTTTTTCCTTGCATATTAAAATCAAATTCTGCAGATTGACCAACAACACTCGCTCAGAGCTCTCACAGCAAAGCACAACAAGGCAAAGGCCAAAAAAAGGGAAAAGAAAAATTAAACAAAAAAAAACAAGAGGAAGATCTCTGGAGAGAAATGGGGTTATTTTAGAGGGAACAGTATATCTTGGTATAGTACATTGATTCATTATTATTATTTCTTAGGAAAAAACCTTCTTTGATCTGTGCTCTCTTATTTTAATGTGTTCAACTTTCTTCTTTGCCTTTTAAAGCAAGTCTGAATCGAAATTTTTTGGTTTTACTTCTGTCTCCCTCCACACAAAACCCACGTACACCAACCCTTTCAATCTCAAAACCACCCCTCTTCTCTGTGTTTTTACACTACTATCAATCTTACAATGATGGCAGTTGAACTCTCAATTCATTTGTTAATTGTTAAGGTTAACGAAATTGCTTATATGATAGTTAAGTGTATAATAATGTTTGATTTTATTATTTATATATTTTATTTTAATTTTAGTTATAGTTAGAAGTAATTTAATACTTTTCTAATAATACAAGGATATATAATTAAAATTAAAATTAAAATAATAAAATATATAACTAATAAATAAGTATTAAATCATAAATAAATTTAGTTCCTTTTGATAAATCATATGAATGGCATATGAAGAATAAAATATCAAAAATCATAAATAAGTTTTTTAGTCATGAAAAAATAAAATAAAAATAGAAAGAGAAGGGGTTCCAAAAATCACAGTCACATATCTTAGAGATAAGGACATGGCGACAAGCCAAGCATCTCATTCCAAAGCAATTGCTCTGGAACTTTTATAATGTAGATATATATTTTAAAAATATGAATTATTTTATTATTATTAAAATTAATTTAAAATACTATATTCAAATATAAATGCTATTTAATTTATAATATTTAAATCCATAAAAATAATTAAATTGAATATTTATTGAATCTGTAATTTCAATAGATGAAAATCCATTTTCTTTCTCACTCCATTTACCAATATTTAAATCCATAAAAATAATTAAATTGAATATTTATTGAATCAGTATCGCGTTGCGAAAGTCAGTATCGCGTTGCGATTTTATATTATCGCGTTGCGATAGTCAGTATCGCATTGCGATTTTCCAAATTCGCATTGCGATTTTCCAAATTCGTATTGCGATTTACTTATTCGCATTGCGAATTGAGAAATCGTAATGCGAAATTGTAAAATCGCATTGCGATAGTCATAATCGCGTTGCGAATCTGGAAACTGATTTGCGATAATGGAGATCGCGTTGCGAATTAGCGATCGCATTGCGATTTTGTTGGTCATTTTGGCAAATCCAAAAAAAATCAGTTAAAATCGTATATTTATATGAGATTTTTTGTCACATTCAAAAGATTACTTTATTTTTTGTTAGCGGTACCCAGAACCCATTTTCAAAGAATCGAACATATTGGCTTTCATTTCACGTGTATTGATACAAGATTTGATTTTTGATCATCATCATACTTGTGATGAATTTCTTATTTTAATTAATATTATTGTGTTGATGTCTGTCACATAGCATGTTTGTTGTATGTGTTTTTCTTTTCTTTATTTAACATTATTATAAGATTTTATATTATTTTTTAATTAGATCTTATTTATCTAATAAAAATAAAAATCGTATATATGGGTCAGATTGAGTCATGTATATGTTTTGATCTAAAATTTTGAGTTAAATTCCAGGTTAGTTATAACCCTTTTAAACCATAATCAAATTAGATGCAAGTGAAGAAGTTTAATTTTCGAATCAAATTTAAATGAATAAAAAACCTGGCTCGATCCATAATTATTCTTAGATGTAAAGCAAAAAGAGATAAATTATAAACGTTTGGTCGATCATAAGTAATTATTTTAAAACTAGGGTTAAATTAATTAGGCGAATATAAATGACTAAAATTATTGTTATGCTATTAGAAACAAGACACAACATTATTTTCATTAGTGATCAAACTCTAATGACCAGTTATTTAATTAATATAAAAATAAATATTAATAATGTAATCAATAAAATTATAGTCAATAATAAAAATAAAATTGATCTTATAATTTAATGACTAAATAGATAACATATCCTCATATTAATCATTTACATTTTTGTCCATTTTGTTAGGTAGTTTGCTATTCGTTTCTATTATAAAGGAATTTTAAAAGTGTTTTGAATTAGTTTAGATTTTTTTTTTTTAGATTTTTCACTATTATTATTATGTTCAGTTTGTTATGTAAAAGGCTATTTATACAGCCAACGTTGATTCAATAAAGTAGCAATTATCTCTAAACATCTTATTTTTCAGTTTAAGCTTAACATTTGGTATCAGATATATTACAGGGCAAACGTTGATTCAATAAAGATTTGAAGGCCAAAAATTATTTGTTTCAGGCGTTAGATCGTATAGTCCTTGAAACCATACTCAATAAGGATAGTCTAAGAGTATATGAGACTCTATGAAACAGAAATACTAGGGTGCCACTCGAGTCAAGTGTTCCCAACTACAAACTCTACGGAAAGAGAGGTTCTTAAAATGAAGGCGAGCGAGCCTACTAACGAGTATTTTGCTCGCACTCTTACCATTGCTAATAAAATGAAAGCCAATGGTGAGAATAAGAGTGATGAGGAAGTGGCAATGAAAATTCTCAAATCAATGACTCCTAAATTTAACTATGTTATGTGTGATATTGAAGAGTCGGACACAAGCACCCTGAGTATTGATGAATTAAAAAGCAGTTTGCTTGTTCATGAGCAACGTATCAATATAACTAATTTAATTGAAGAGACGCATGCGTTGAAGATCTCTACTGGCGCTCGATATGAAGGAAAGGTCGAGGTCAAGGAAGCTATAGAGGAAAAGGTCGGGGACGAGAACGATAGTTTATTGACAAATCTACTATTGAATGTTACAATTGTCATAAATTTAGGCATTTCCAATGGGAGTGTCAAACTAAAGTGGCCCATTATGTAGAAACCCAAGAAGATATGTTGTTGATGGCATTTGTGGATACACATACGGCTGCCGAAAGGGACACTTGGTTCCTTGACTCTGGATGTAGCAATCATATGTGCGGAAAGAAGGATTACTTCATGGACCTTGATGAAGATTTCAGAGATACGGTAAAGCTGGGCAACAATTCAAACATGACTGTAATGGGGAAGGGCAATGTAAGGCTGCAAATTCATGGAGTTATGCATATTCTTACCGGAGTATTTTACATTCCACAGTTGAAGAACAAATTACTTAGCATTGTAAAGTTGCAAGAGAAGGGATTGGCCGTTTTATTTCAGCATGATCGATGTAAGGTGTATCATTCCGAGAGATGATTAATCATGGATGTTTAAATGTCTTCCAATCGAATGTACATGTTCAATGCTATATGTTCTATCGCATCAGCTTGTTTCAATAGCATTATAGAAGATTTGGTGCATCTTTGGCATTACAAAATCAGCACAAACTGTAAAACCACATCCTACAGAAAACACAATAAATAATAGGGGGAAAGCACAGCACACACAACCAACAAACTCAACCTTCGGAGGGAACATCTCCTCTATTAACTGTAATTTCTTCCATGTTAAAATGGTTTTCAAGTTTGGTAACCAACTTTGAAAAAATGGTTTTCAAAGTTTGGTAAATGTTTCTTTGAAAATGGTTTTCAAAGTTTGGTAAATATTTCTTTGAAAAATAGTTTTTCAAAGTTTGGTAGATGTTTGTTGAAAAATGATAATGGGATAATCACAATTAATCCTTAGGTTTTAGGATATTTACAAGATTAAGTCCTTAAGTTTTAACTATAAATACCCTAGCTCATTTAGCTTCAAAACCATCCCAAAAATTATTTCTTTCTCCCAATACTAGAGAGCTTTCTTGTGAGTAGTGAGTGTTTTGTAAACACATGTAAATTTTCTCTCTTAGTAAAAGATCTGCAGCAGTCCGGAGACGTAAGCAAATTGGCTGAACTCCGTTATCAATTTCGGGTATTATTTTCCGTTTTATTTCGCATTCTCACTAATCTGGTTATAGGGAAATTACTTGTACTTGGTTTATTTCCCAACAACTGGTATCAGAGCTTTGGTTGTGAATTTTGTCAATTTTTGCGAGGTTACTATTCATGTGAATAGTGAATTTCGTGAATAGTAAAATTTTGTCGGCGATACAAATTTGTCGACGGTGTTTCTAATACACGGTGTCGCAAGAATTATCAGAAACGATCCAAACGAAACCAGATTCGAGTGGGAGCGATGGCTGCAGACGAAGGGAATGTGAAAATTAAAAAGTTCGATGGTGCGAACTTTGACTTTTGGAAGATGCAGATTGAAGATTTTCTGTACCAGAAAAATTTATATATCAATCTCTCTCAGGAAAGCAACCAGAGGGCATAAAGAATGAAGACTGGGTTCTTCTCGACAGACAAGCCCTCGGAGTTATCCGACTGACGTTATCCCGCAATGTTGCTTTCAACATAGCAAAGGAAAAGACCACGGCGGGTCTTATGGCGGCTCTCTCCAGTATGTATGAGAAGCCATCAGCCTCAAACAAAGTGCACTTGATGAAGCGATTATTCAATTTGCGGATAACGGAAGGGGCATTGGTGGCACAACACCTAAATGAACTCAACACAATCACAACTCAGTTGAGTTCAGTGGAAATTGAATTCGATGATGAAGTTCGAGCTTTAATTCTCTTATCATCTCTACCAGACAGTTAGAATGTTACTGTTACAGCAGTTAGCAGCTCATCGGGAAATAGTAAATTGAAATTTGACGATGTTCGAGATCTGGTACTGAGCGAAGAAATTCGACGGAGAGAATCAGGTAAAGTATCAACCTCCTCAGCCTTGCACACGAAGTTCAGAGGGAGAACTTCATAAAGAAATTCAAATCATGGCAGATCGAAATCCAGACGGGGAAAATCTACAATGGGAAAGAAAGATTTTACCTGTTATAATTATGGCAAGAAATGTCACTTTAAAAGAGATTGCCGAGCACTGAAGAAAAATACCGGCGCACAGGAATCTGCCAACGTGACAGAGGAGACAGGTGATGCCATGATTCTGAGCGTCAACAGTCCGATTGAATCATGGATCTTAGATTCAGGGGCATCTTTCCACTCCACCCCATGCCGAGAAATCATGGAAAATTATGTCAGTGGTGATTTTGGGAAGGTTCATCTAGCTGATAATGAAACCTTAAAGATCGTCGGGAAAATGAGACATCCGACTAAAGTTGCCAAACCAAACCACCTGGACGCTGAAAGGAGTGAGACATATTCCTGGCCTCAAAAGAAATTTGATTTCTGTAGGACAGCTTGATGGTGAAGGATTTAGCACAACCTTTTCAGGCTGTGAATGGAAGATTACCAAAGGAGCACTCGTCATTGCTCGTGGTAAGAAAGCTGGTACTCTCTATATAACATCAAATTTAGAGAATATCATTGCAGTAGCAGATGCTAATGGAAAATCAAACATATGGCACCAAAGGCTTGGCCATATGAGCGAGAAAGGGATGAAGACACTTTTGTCAAAGGGGAAGCTGCCGGATCTAAAGAATGTAGATGTCGGACTATGCGAGGATTGCATCTTTGGCAAACAAAAGAAAGTCAGCTTTGCAAAGATTGGTAAGACACCCAAGGCTGAAAAGTTAGAGTTGGTTCATACTGATGTATGGGGACCATCTCCAGTTTCATCTCTTGCAGGCTCATTATATTATGTCACCTTCATCGATGATTCTACAAGGAAGGTGTGGGTTTATTTTCTGAAGAAGAAATCAGAAGTCTATGATACCTTCAGAAAATGGAAGGCCATGGTGGAAAATGAGACTGGTCTGAAAGTCAAGCGGTTGAGGTCTGACAATGGAGGAGAGTACAGAAATAGGAGATTAAGAGATTTCTGCGCAAACAATGGGATCAAGATGGAGACAACAGTTCCCATGACACCGCAGCAGAATGGCGTAGCAGAGCGCATGAACAAAACTCTGAATGAACGTGCCAGAAGCATGAGAATACATACCGGATTGCCCAAATTTCTATGGGTTGAAGCTATCAACACTGCAGCTTACCTGATCAACCGTGGGCCCTCAGTTCCTTTGGATGGCAGAATACCAAAGGAAGTTTGGAGCAAGAAAGAAATAAACCTTTCACACTTAAAAGTGTTTGGTTGTATTTCTTATGTACACATAGACTCTGCTGAAAGAAGTAAACTTATGAGTTCGGTTGCCGGTTTTGGGACTATGAAAATCGGAAGATCATTAGAAGCAGAGATGTCATTTTCAATGAGAATGTGATGTACAAAGACAGGTCAACTGTAGAATCAAGCAGCTCCAATACCAAAGCTGAAATAAAGGAATTTGCTGAGTTTGAGGAGATTTCTGGAAATGATGTTCAGATCAGTCCTGAAGTAGTTCAAGAAGAACCAGGCACACCGGAACTAAGACGCTCCTCCAGAATTCCTAAACCAACCCAATGATATTCTCATTCTTTGCACTACTTGTTGCTGACTGACAATGGTGAACCAGAGTGCTATGATGAAGCAATGCAAGTGGAGGATTCAGTCAAGTGGGAGTCTTCCATGAAGATGAGATGGATCACTTTGTCAAATCAGACGTGAGAATTAGCTGAATTACCACCAGGCAAGAAAGCGCTTCACAAGTGGATTTACAGGATCAAAGAAGAGCACGATGGGAGCAAACGCTACAAAGCGAGATTGGTTGTCAAGGTTTTCAGCAAAAAGAAGGTATTGACTACAATGAAATTTTCTCTCCAGTCGTGAAACTGTCTACAATCAGACTGGTGTGAAAATTGTAGCTGCAGAGAATTTACATCTTGAGCAGTTTAGATGTAAAGACAGCTTTCCTCATGTGATTTGGAGGAAGAAATTATATGAGGCAGCCAAAAGGCTTCATAGAGGCAGACAAGAAAAACCTGGTATGCAGGTTGAAGAAGAGCTTGTATGGTTTAAAATAAGCTCCTAGACAGTGGTACAAGAAGTTCGATAGTTTCATGAGTAGCAGTGGTTTTACCAGATGCCAAGAAGATCATTGTTGCTACATCAAGAGGTTCGACAATAGCTTCATTATTTATTGTTGTACATTGATGACATGCTCGTTGCAGCTCAGACATGCAAGAGATTATAAACTTGAAGCAAAATTGTCAAAGCAGTTTGCTATGAAGGATCTGGGCGCTGCAAAGCAGATTCTTGGGATGAGGATCAAGAGAGACACAAAGTCAAGGACTTTGATATTATCACAGGCTGAGTACATCAACAAAGTACTCTCCAGGTTCAACATGCAAGATGCTAAACCAGTAAGTACACCTTTAGGTGTTCATTTCAGACTCTCCAAAGAACAGTCACCAAAGACGGAGGAAGAACGTGCACACATGGTGAAGGTGTCGTACGCCTCAGCAATTGGAAGTCTGATGTATGTCATGGTTTGTACCAGACTAGATATTGCTCAAGCAGTGGGAGCTATTAGCAGGTACATGAATAATCCGGACAAGGTACACTGGGAAGCAGTCAAATGGATCCTCAGATATCTGCGGGGTACCACAAACAAAGCACTTTGTTTCAAAGGTGGAGATACGATACTGACAGGCTATGTAGACGCTGACTTAGCCGGAAATGTTGACATCAGAAGGAGCACTACATGGTATGTCTATACTATAGGAGGAACCACAGTGAGTTGGGTTTCTCAACAACAGAAGATAGTTGCTCTCTCCACAACTGAAGCAGAATATGTCGCTGTTACGGAAGCTAGCAAGGAGATGGTTTGGCTCCAAAGTTTCTTGGAAGAGTTAGGCAAGAAACAGAAAACAATGTCTTGTATTGCGACAGTCAAGTGCTATACATCTAGCAAAGAATCCGTCTTTTCATTCCAGGACAAAGCACATACAATTGCGATATCATTTTATCCGGTCTCTTCTGGACGATGAGATTTTGAAACTTGAAAAGATCAGTGGAGCTCAAATCCGGTAGATATTTGACAAAGACGGTGACTACAGACAACTGAAGTTGTGTTCAACTTCAGTTGGTATGCTAGAGTACAAGACTAGAAAAGTTGTTGCATTGATCGAGGTGTGAAGACAGATTAAATCAGTCTTCAAGTGGGAGATTGTTAAAATGGTTTTCAAGTTTGGTAACCAACTTTGAAAAATGGTTTTCAAAGTTTGGTAAATGTTTCTTTGAAAATGGTTTTCAAAGTTTGGTAAATGTTTCTTTGAAAATAGTTTTTCAAAGTTGGTAGATGTTTGTTGAAAAATGATAATGGGATATCACAATTAATCCCTAGGTTTTAGGGTATTTACAAGATTAAGTCCTTAAGTTTTAACT